GTACATACATACATAATTAATACAAAGTACATATATACACATATACAGTGTGATCACGATTTAAGGTAACACTAAAATATCTCTGGTAGATGACCTTGTATTGAAATGGAGTTTTCGGGAAGTGATAGGGAGTACCTAAAGACATATTTTCAGATAAATTTCAAATTTGTAAAACTTTTGGTACACGCATGCGCAATACAACTTTTTTTTTCTACATATTCGGATAGATTATGTTTTTTTAAAAAAATTTTGTATTCAATGTTTTTTTCTGTTTATAAAACTGACCAAGTTAGAGTAAATCAAAATTTGGATTTCTGTATAATTCGTGTTTAATGGAATTTTCATTTATAACCTCTGGAAATACTAAAATAATTGTGAAATAATTAAACATTATTTTTAGTGTATGATATTTCGTCAACTGTATTGATTAAATTTAATACAAAATAGTTATAATGATAATAGTATTCATTTATTCAAAATGTCATTGTTAGTGAATTTTGATTCATTACTCCAAAGAATATAATTGACAATTAAAGGGTTATATTACAATTTAATATTGAACCAAGCTATAAATTCCAACCTACGAATAAAATCTGCACTCAAAGATTTGACAAAATCGATTTTATATGGGTGCATTCTGTGTTTTTTTAGAATTTTTTGAACATAACCATATGAAACTATAAAAAAATTGTAAGTTGTATTGCGCATGCGCATACCAATAGTGTTACAAATTTGAAATTTATATTGTTAACGAACGAAACGGGATCTTATTTATATGTTTTTTTTTATATATTATAAGTAGACAAATAATTTTTAATACATCCAGACATCTCCATACTTTTTTATTATTTTTTTTTTTTTAATATTTAAAAATTATTTTTGGTAATAATAATTATAAATATTATAAATTGACAAGGTATTTGAACATGTTTTTTGTTAATTTTGAAAAATATTCTTTTATTTATGAAACAGTTTTTTGTTCCTCTTAAACAATTTTAAAATTCAGGATATTATCCACTTATTACCGGCAGACTTTCAATTTAAGGTTTACCTTTCCCATTAATTTCAATGTGCTTCCAAGTGGAACTGGCTCACGGAACATAATATTATGAATTACTTTCAGTTCAACTGTTGATTTGCAGTGTTTGCTTGCCACTAGAAATGCAAGTCCACTTGCTACACGCATCAAATAACCCCCCAAAACAGTGTAATGTAAATTGCTGGCAAACGTTGTAAGTTTCTATTTTAGTATCATATACTTCCCGGGACGTTTCAAATGGACATTTTTGAAATATATAGGTAGTGCTACCGTGCGCTATAGCATGAGCCGCCACTGCGAACTCCGTTCAGCATTGTTTTCCATTAGCAATGAATCATTCGTTGCGAACAGATATACATTAAAATAATTTATATTTTTAATTTTATCATAATATTAAAAAGAATGTATTCAATGAATATTTTACGAACAACGTTCTTTAGCTCTGTGACTATAACAGAATAATTTTGCGCTCAAAGTTGATTCAATATAATAACATGTTATTATATTTGTTATATATGTTATTAACGTGTTAAGGTCGTGACAATAACTGTGAGAGAAACGTCCGAGCACCTAGTCACCACAGGAATGAGCGAGCAGATGCGGACCGCCGTCCGCGTCTGTCGGCGGCGAATCGGATAACTGCGTGTAATACGTGAACGCGACGATTGAAATAATTGAATATATAAAAAAGATGTAAATGTCCAACGTAAAGCGAAAATGCAGATAGCACGACAGAACGAATTCATTCGCGTCACTCTCTTGCGTTTGATAATCAAATTAGTTAATAATCGCATGATACCACGAACACAGTGCCCTGCACATCATTATTATTTTAGTTTCAGTTTTAATTCAATATTTCCGTATTTTCTCCATCAGTGTTAGGTTCAAGAGGCAAGCTCATTGATTTTCATAGACTCGATAGTTTTCATACTAGTAGTAGGGTCCGAATGGCCTCTATTAATCGGCTACAAATAGCTCATAATCGGTAATCTACCGGTATTACTCGGGAAGAGTAACAAAAATGCTATAAAATTGTCATCCATATTTAGATTAAACTGACCATGCTTTTGATCTTATCTCTGAGGTTTAGACTGAATCGGTGTTCTCTTTTGAATAATAAGGATATTTCCATCATGGAAACCAAATGGAGAATGAATGGGTCAAACCCCTGCATAGTTGATAAATGTACGGTTGCGCAAATAAATATTGGTAATGGAGGGTTAGGCGTCACTAACATCTTGAAACATCCTTCTAATTTGTTTCAATACTCTTGACATGTAAATGCTCTTTTAAAGAAAATTTCTTTTCCATAATTCAGCAAAATAGTACTCAACCAAGTTTCTTCGATTTTAATTATTATTCCTAGTCCTTCTGATATTTTTTTTCAAGTTTTCCATATATTTTCTATAACTATTCATTATCTGATTCTGGGATTTCTCTATGTATTCATTATCAGGCATTTCTAAATAGACTGAGGACTTTAGCCACGATGAGAACGTTATCACCCTGTCCATTTTGAGTGCTGTCCATACCAGTCTGAATTCAGTTTATCTCCAAAGTATCAACTACAATAGTAGTCCAATTCTTTTGCCTTTTGTCTTCACATCATGGCTGCCCAATCCATGTAACATCTGTGTCTTCTTGGAGCAGTTTCTTTATTATCTTTCCTGTATTTTCAATCGGCATTCTTACATGATTATTCTCAAAAGACCTTCCATATTTTTCTTCCTTCTTTATAATATTAGGTGGGCTTAAAGTAGATGAAAAATAAAATAGTGCCCCTTCAAAAAATGTATAAGTAAACTTATATAAATTACGGACTCCATACAATTAATTAAAAATATTAATGATTAACTTAGTGGATCTCCATTTCTGATTAAATTTAGCTTGGTTTCTTTACCGATGAGAGAAATACATTGGTCATAGGGAACGTTTAGTGTGTGTATGTACAAAATCATCTACACGGTACCACAACTTTCGACAGAATCAAAAAACATCTGGGTATTTACCCAGTTATCCGCTGGGACGGCATTTATAATCTTGGAATTGTTACTCGGTTGGAACGAATATCAAATCTGCTCGAAGAGACAGCAGTTCCGCCTTGGAATTTGTGCTGACGCATACGTCATCCACGCACCAAAACCGTGGCCAGAGTTTTCTTCAGGTTTAATGTTGTGCTGTTCATTTTTCGCAGAGATTTTATTTACTTTGCTGTAAAACGAGACGTAGCGTTAAAAATCACTCGTTTCTACGAGAAAAACGAGCGTTGATCTCTTTAATTTCAAAAGCTCGTCCTATTTACATTTACTGGGTTATCGGAGTGATTTTAGTAGAAGCCGAATTAATAGATCTGTTGACGATTTAACAATACACTGACGATAACGCTACCGGGCCCGAGCATAATTTATGCAGACAATAATATCGAGGAATTATAGGAGATGTGCCGTCATGCTGGGTTAAAGTTGCCCGCAGGTTGTTGCACTTATGACAGGCTAATGAGATTTGGTAAGTCCGAACAATAAAAACTATATTTCGACAATAAGGCGAAAACATAACTAACGAAAAATCCATAATTTTAAGTTTTGTACAAACAATTCATACATTTTTTCAACTTTCGTCTACTAAGTATTTTACCCGCGCTGAAGATTTAATTATTATGTAGCGAAACATTTTGAGAATTTTTTCTTAGTGAAAATAAAAACCTATCGAAAGAATTGGGTTATCCATAGCAACGTCGTTAAACACGGACTAATTCAATTGTTTCAGTTATCCGAAATATTAATGCATAAGTTTGGGATTTGATCGAATAACAAAAAAAAAAAAAAAAAAAAAAAAATAGAAAATCCGTACTCGATATTATTTCCAGTATTTTTCCGGTCAATATGGACAAGGATAATACGGTCATCTGGTTTCCAGCATCGGCCAATCTACCGGTGGAAATAATCGGCCGCCGGGTGTACTGTCGGCGTGATATGTTGCGCTGGGAATGTAGCCAGGCACAGGCCGACATGCGGGTGTTCATCGAACGGATGAACGTGGTTTTGGCCGAACGATATCGACCGACGGCGACGGCCACGCCCGACGGTACTGAGAACGTGCGCAAAGCTGCGGAAGTCTTGGGTCAAGTAACCCAATGGGCGGAACTTAACAGACCGGCCCGTAACGACTTCATGGTGGTCCCGGCGTTCGGCAAGTTCCACGCAATGTTGCGATCAAAGAGCCACGATCTGTTGGTCCGGATGTACGGGCGGCCGGCCGAGCATCGGACCGTCGAGCTGCCCGCATACCTGGAGAAGAGTTTCGGCGATGCGGACACGATGGAATACGGACCGGAACACGAAATTTCGTTCTGCATGTTCTTGATCGCCTTGTTCAAACTTCATCATCTCACCTGTGCAGACGAACATTATGTGGTATCCGTACTCTTCGACAGGTATGCACAGTGGATAGGTCACAATGTACCGGTGTGGTCATAGCGGATCTATAATTTGGCTGTGACGGATTCTCAGGTAGGGTGACCAGACGTCTTCTTTTACGAGAACTTTTTCTCTTTTTATGAATTTCCTCATTTATCCGGGCTCTTTTTTTTTAAAAATAACAAAATGTTTTCTAATAACAAAACAGTTAGTAGACGCGAAATCGACGGCTGGTGGGAGTTTAGTGAATGAAACTTCAAAAGAATCGGGTATACCCAAAAAACGCTCTGTAATAAAGAAAAGCATTTCAACGAATCGGAAAGAAAACATAAAAAAAACCTGCAGATAATTTACAGATTAGGAATAAACCGAATGGTGATGAGTTACCTGATAAATTGAAAAATCCCGTATTAGTTGTGAAAAGTGAAAAATTGCTTACAAGGAATAATAATGTTCTAGCCAGCCAAAAACCGACGAAAAACTTACCTGACATCTCGCCTAAACAGAGAAACATCAGAAAAACGATAGGTTCGACGGAAAGATACTAGCTACAGCGAACAAAGAGATGGCCAACGGAGGGACCTACCAGAAATTTTGCTTCAATTTTAAAATCATAAATATTACGGCCTTTAAAAACATGTAAAACCGAACACTCTGTTCAGAATGGTTTTACACAAGCAAAAGATTAATCATTGCGTATATA